TTGCATCGATCAAAGCTTTTTTGTTCCATCATTTCAATGTCAAAAAAATATAAATATGTGTAATGTGTTATAATACATTGGTTTAGTTGAATAATAAAATATAGTACATTGTATCAGTAACAGTATATAAGTAAAAATTGTTTTAGTCTTATATAACAATTGAATAAAGTTTAAAAATTGAAAGTATCATGGACAATGTAGAATACTCGCAAAGTAATGTGTAATGGTGATATATAATGTTTCTTTAGACTACACATATTTCAAGACAGTTGCACTTGTGTTAAATATGAATATTTTTCAGTGTGTTAAAGTAATTTTCGTGCAAAGGTATAATTGTAGAATTTATTTATTGAATTTTCTAATTAACAAGATTTTTTATACATGTAAATTTTACATCTGCTGTATACGTAATATTGTTGAAATTTAAATAATTTACAGATGTGAGGTGGATGACTCATTTCAAAATGCGTCGCATTTATTAGACATCTCTAAATTAAATGGATTTTCTTGTCAACTGAAAGAGAAAGTGTTCTTATTTGATACATAAAATAAGAGGAAAAAATGTCCCAACTAAGTATTAGTACTGGAAAGAGAGGGAGGAGTGTTGCAAGCTCTTCTGCTTCTACTGTATCGTCTCTGAGCAGCTCAACTGACCTAGCAAGCCTCTTCGAGTGTCCAGTTTGCTTTGATTATGTTCTTCCACCGATCTTACAGTGCCAGAGTGGACACCTTGTTTGTAGTAATTGCAGACCAAAGCTTAATTGCTGTCCTACATGTAGAGGTCCATTAGGTATCTAGACGTTAATAAAATGGAACACGTATGATTGAAAATAATCTTGTGAATTTCGCTTTAATGAACAATTCTCTGCGAACCTATAATGCAGGTAATATCCGAAATCTAGCAATGGAAAAAGTGGCGGGTAACGTAATGTTTCCTTGCAAATATTCCACAAGTGGATGCACAGTCTCACTCGTACATACTGAAAAGGCAGATCATGAAGACGCATGTGAATTCCGTCCATACAGTTGTCCTTGTCCAGGTGCTTCTTGTAAATGGCAAGGATCTCTTGAGCAAGTAATGCCACATCTTGTTATGAGTCACAAAAGTATTACAACCCTTCAAGGTAATTTTATTAAATAAAACATTTATATTTCTTTTAATTACACAAATATCAAAATCACTTTTATTACAGGGGAAGACATTGTTTTTTTAGCAACAGATATTAATCTCCCAGGTGCAGTGGATTGGGTAATGATGCAGTCCTGTTTCGGACATCATTTTATGCTAGTGCTTGAAAAACAAGAAAAATACGATGGACATCAACAATTTTTTGCAATTGTTCAACTGATTGGTTCGAGAAAACAAGCAGAAAATTTTGCTTACAGGTAAATATATAT